GGCGCACCCGTCACGAGTGTCGGAATATGATGAGCGTGATACTTATTATCGAGGGAGCAGCCCCTCCTCCAGCTCAAGTTCGAGTAAGAGAGCGTGATCATGAAGAGTCTATTGACTTCAGTACCAGAAGAGGTCCAGAAAGACCTCGTAGACGTTCTTTGGATTTCTTACGAGATGATTATGCACGATCAGAACCAGGCCAAATGGTTGTGAGAGAACGGGACACGGAAACATTTAATGACAGACCACTTGTGCGAAGACCACGATCACCTTCTCCCCCACGTTTTCGTGAGAGAATCGTGAGAAGTGAAGTTGGAAGACGAGAGCCTTCTCCACCATCCGAGAGAGTCCGAACACGAATTGTTGAGAGAGAAAAGGAAACTCAGAGATCTCCATCACCCCCACCACAACTTCGCGCCCGAGTGATCGAGACAAGGCAAAGATTTAGGGAGCGATCCCCATCACCACCAGCACCCTCTCCAGTTCGCATTCGCGAGAGAGTCATTGAGCGAGAGCGAGAGAGAGAAAGAGAAAGATCACCTTCCCCACCACCGCCACAAGTGGAGAGAATTCATACCCGAATTGTTGAAAGAGAGAGAGAAAGAGAACCATCCCCAACCCCATCTCCCCCACCTACCCCACCACCCGAGATTATTCGAGCACCACCCATTCACCGAGAAATTATTACACATCATCGCCACATTGATCATGGTAAGTCTGCCTCTAATTTTCCACCATGATGATCGTCAGTCAAATACTAATTAATAAATAAGGTTTCGAAAGAGCTCCCGCACCAAGCCCACCCCCACCTCCTCGTCGTGCTCACACCCCCGCACCACCAAAAACCGAGAAGACCGAAATTGATATCTATCGCTCCGGCAACAGCACCGAAGTTGATATTACAAAAACAAAGACTACTACTCGCGAACAGGCTAAATCGCCTCCCCCACGAAGAGAATATTATGATGATTCCATATTATTCGAACAAGAGCGTGATAAGTTACGTGTCCGAGATACTCGTATAGATCTTAGCAGAAGAAGAAGTTTGAGTGCTCGCCCTGAGAAGAAGTTGGATCTCGACATTCGAGATGAAGATGAGGCTGATTTCTACGCTCATAAAGTTCAAGAAAGAGCCGTTATTGGTGAAGCATTTAATGGTGCCACAAAAGATTGGACAATCGTTGATGTTCCTCCTGGAACTGAGAGGATCACATTAGATGGTGTTGGAGGTGCAAGTCAAGAAATCACTTGGCAGAGATACAATGGTGTACGACGAAGCAAGTTCAATCCTGAGCGTGAACGCAAGGCAGAAGAACCCGAACGTATGGAGAAAAAGATTGAGTTCCGCGAACGGGAGAGAGAGGGTCCTGATCGCACTACTGAGCGTATCGAGATCCGTGAGCGTCAAAGTGGTGCCCCATCACCACGAGAATCTTCAACTACCGTTGATATCGAAATCTCAAGCAATCGTAAACCACGAAGCCATGCTAGTGGACCAATATACGAGAGAGAAAGAGAATATGAACGTATCGAAGAAAGCTCTGATCGTCAAGTTGGCTTCCCATTACCTCGTGGTCCACCAAAGAGCAGAATGGGTGATTTATGGACTGAAATCACAAAGGACTTGGTAGCTAAAGAAGCTATCGAGGAACTTGGTTATGATTATGAAGAAACAGAATTCTTCTACTACATTCTCCAATATCTCCGATACGTAAGTTCCATCCCTTTGTACCTACATTCCTTAGACATATACTAACAACCTTATAGCAAGACGTCGAAGAACTCGTCGCCCTTTCGGAAACCGTCCGTCGCGAACGTCAAGATCGTATCCGTGAAATCGAACGTGAACGTGTTCGTATTGAACGTCGTGAGAAAGAACGCGATGATTGGGAGCGTGCAGAGAGAAGAAGAGAGAGAGACAGTGGATATGATGATGAGCGAATCATCGAAAGAGAAATCATCTGGGATGATTCCAGAAGACGTGAACGACCTAGCAGACGTTGGTAATTATTTTCCTACTCCTAGGATTAAATTATCAATTAAAGTTGGTCGAGAACCGAGATGCTCGCACAGCAGTTGCAGTTGCAGGCGAATAAAGAGGAAAGAGCAAAGAGGAAACAACAAATCCTCTGATCCACTTACTCTACGAAATTGATGAAATGAGTCAACGAAACGAACGACAATACGACGTTACGGCTGCTAAATAATGACCTCGCACTTACACTAGCATCATCCATCTCATATAGCGCTGTTATCTTTCATTTCTGCTTATTTTTCATTCATTTCGAAATTTTGTTTCGAATCCTTTTGATTATTTTTTCTTGGACGGCTTCGAACTTTCTGTCCTGGGTGATCTTTTTATCTTACCTATCTACCTAACCTTCGATTCATCATCACATCCATATTTACATTCAACCACATATTCATTACGTCTCTTTCGAGCCGTCCACTCGTAAGGAAGATAAATGTTTATGTTAATATTTATGTTTATGTTCGTGGTCTATTAGATAGATAAATAAGATAAGATAATATCACTGGAGGGACGAAGAAAATGAATGAATGGATGGATGGACGGGATTAGTTATTTTATTCATGTTTTTCTTTTCTCTTTTCTTTTATTTTCTATGATTCTTTCATCATTTTCCTTTGGTTGCGTTTGCTTGTTTTTTTTTTCATTGGATTGTATTGCTCTTTTATGTGTGAGAGGGAGGAATGAAGGAAGGGAGGAGGGAAGGAGAGAGGATGATTTGAATGAATTGAATGAAGGGATGAGGAGGAGAGAGAAGAGAAGAGAAGAGATGTGGAATGGAATGGAATGGTATATTAGGTCTTTAACGAATTGATTATGAAAATGAAAAATGAAGATGAAAATAAGTATGAAGAAGATGAAGATGAAAAGTATAATGTGATTTGATTTGAGTTGAGGTGATATATATTATTAAAATGCTTTTGCTTTTATAATATGACTATATCAAGTGTGCAGACTTATAGATTAGTCTATACCTAAGTAAACTAACCCTAAAATCAAAATTGAATTGAACTAGAATAAATTATATATTCTAATAATTATATTATATTTTATCTCTCTTTTTGTTATTTAATTTTCTTTAATTTTTTCTTCTTTTCTTTTCTTTTCTGAACATCATCACCATCATTATTTCCTTTATACCCGAATTCAAATATCACACTTTTATATTCTTCTGTCTCTGTTGTAGTAGTAGTAGTAGTAGTAATAATAATAATAATAATAATAATAATAATAATAATAATAATAATAATAATAATAATAATAATAATAATAATAATAATAATAACAATAATAACAATAACTAGGTACTTAAACGTAAGAATCATCTTTTTATTCCCTCATTGTCTTATTTCCTCATTTCATCATTCCCACATTTGCTATCCCTTTTCCTCTTCTCTCCTTTCTACCACATAAACATATACATCCCTCAAACTTTTACCCATCCATCCCATCACATCACTCTCCCCCCCCTCAATCCCCAAATCCCCATCCCCAACCCTAAAACTTAGGAAAAAACACCGGGGTATTCTCCTTCCACTCCTGATAATCTTTTCGATGCCCATATTTCTTATCATACTATTTTATTCAAAAATTAACAAATTAGTGTTAATTCCATACGTATACTTTTCTTCCGCATATTTATTTGCTATCAGGTTTTCATCTGTATGTGATAGCCGAACCCACCCATTCATCCGCACGCCCCTCTCAACATCACTAGAGAGGAGAGTCTCGCGCTTGCGAGGATGTAGGGTTGGAATCTTCTGTGGGATTGAGTGTGACTGAATACTGAGTATTGAGTATTAATGAGAAAATGCACCTTTCTACCTGTTTGTGCCTTGCACATGTAGGGGTCTTCTTTTCACTCATACTCATTCATTCATTTACTCACTCACTCACTCTATCTCTCCCCAGATCTTTACAATCCATCATATACATCATATATGACGAACAAACAGAAAAACAAACAAACAAAAAGAAACTCAAAAAAACATACCTTCCCCTCACTCAACGGCACCCCACTAACCTTCAACAACAAAAACGACACAAAAGCCGGACTAACCCCCGCAATCCCCAATGCCAAAACCCTCCCCCCAATTCCCCAAGCACTCGTCCCCATCCCCAATTGACCCACCCTCCCTGCCAAAACCCCCGCACTCATCACCGCAATCCCCGTCCACAACGTCGCCTCACCGAAATAATTCGGATGTCTCGATTTCGACCACAGACCTGAAGTAAGAAAATCCTCATCGTGTTCTTTGCGCTTTTTGGCGGCCGACCAGGCGGATTTTTGTCGGTCGGCGAGGATTTCAAACGTGAGTCCTCCTGTGAAGAGGAGGAGTCCGAGGATATCGGTTAGTAGTAGGGTGGGGAGGGTTGTTAGGAGGGGGCGGGGAAGTGCGTTTAGCGCGATGACGGGGAGGCAGCAGAGGGATACCCAGGTTGCTTGGGCGGTGAAAGCGGCGAGGAATCTTGGGGGGGATTTTTTGATTTCGTCGACTAGAATTTGGGGTTAGGTTGTTTGTGGTGGAGGGTGAGAAGTAGTTGGGCAGGAAGGGGGGAAGTATGAAGATAGAAAGAATATATGAGAGATGCAAGCTCCAAGATGAATATATAATTTCATCCTTCATCCTTCATCTAGAACATCAACATCAACAACACCATGAAAATCAAAAACTTACAACGAGAATCATGACCATCCCCTAATATCCTCATAAAAAGATAACTACCAACTATATCGAAAGTTAGTACCTCTCTTCCCATTTCTAATCCTCCCCTCTCCTCTCCTCTCCACATCTGCATCTCACCAACCAACCACCCAAGCACTTTTACACCAAGAAAAAGGATAAAGAATAGCGAGAAACATAAGAATAGAAGAAACCATACGTCTAGTAGCCCACACCCCCACCGCAGCACTAAGAACCACCTGTCTCCAATTCAAAGCATTAGGGGGTGCATTTTTTGAAAATGCTTCTAGGAGTTTAGACCACTGATAGATAGATTTTAGTTAGCAATTATCCATCCATCATTCCCCTTCCCTCTTTCCCCTCCCCCTCCTCCCCCTTTCTCCCCTCAACTTCTCCCCCTCCCCAAAAGCCAACAAGAGAAGAGAAAGAAAACCCACCTCAATACCCCCTCCCCCACTCCCTCCCCTCTCCCTCAAACCGGGCAACCACAAACTCAACCCCACCACACTCAAATACGTCAAACTACCACTTAAATCATAGAATCTTTCTGATTGAAGCAAGATACTCGGGACGGCAACTGCGGATTGAATGGCGAAAGCTGTGCCGATGGCTGGGATGAGGGTGCGGAGGAATGGGGAGCGGAAATTTGTTAGATGGAGGAGGGTTTGTGTTAGGGTCATTTTTGTGTGTTTGGAGATGGATGGATGTGTGTGTAGTGTGTGATGGATGATATATGTATTTGAGTGTAGGTATGATATGATATGATATGATATGATGAGATGAGATGAGATGAGATGAGAGTTGTATATGTATATAAGATCTTATATAATTAAATCAATAAATCAATAAATAAACAAGTATAAATAAACAAGTATATACTAAATAAGTTCCGATCCAAATACTTCTACACAAATGACACGATAGCTTTTACCCCTCCCTCTCAACCCCTCCCTCTCAACCCCTCCCTCTCAAACCAACCCCTCTCAAACCAAAAATATAATGACGACATAGACTCTCTTCCCTTTCACAAGCCAACTTACTCGAGTACATACCGCCCTGTCTAGAACCCAACTAAGTAAAACCAAGTCAACTAAAGTCAAACCAGCTAGCTAACCTCGGAGTCCGGAATCGGGGGTTCAGGAATTTCCTTTTGATTAATAATCCACTTACTTGTAAGATCTTAGCTTGGAAGATTTTGGTAGGTCTAGATGATCTACAGATATATGTATGTTTATTGCATGAATATGAAAGAAATAGATCTCAAAAAGATATCAAAATACAAGAGGCTAAAGACATTTCAAAAACAAGTATATCATCAATTTTCAATTTTCAATTCACAATCCTCATCCTCAATCAACTACTTATTCCCATCATCTATCTAATTCATCACCTCACCCGTTTTCCACCATTTTCTCTTATATTTATTCATCCCCCTTCCATCCCTTCCATCCCATGCATCCAAATCATATACACTCCAATCCATTCAATCCATACCCATTCATTCAATCATCTATTTATTAATATTATGGTAATCCTACTCCATACCACTTTGCTCTCGAATTGTCATCCACAACTCTACCTCAGTCCACTTCCAGAAATTTATCTGTATCAAATCAATGCTCTTGTCTATACGCCATAACGAATGTTTTGTTATTCCCCAATACCATCAATTAGTGGATTCCATTCATTACCCACAAGAAATATTCCTCATAAAAAACTATTCATCTCAAGAACCGAATCATAGAAGAGAAGAGAAAGATGTATAAATGAAGAAGAAGAAAAATGCAAAAAGGTCATGGCAATGGGTATCGTAACGATAAACCGGACCAAGACAATAAACAGAAAAAAATTCGGCCAAGAACGTAATGTACATCAGTAATCATAGAGTATCGTAAACCCAATCATCGTAGAGGTTCCTTGACATCCGCAACGCCATTTGCGATGACTTCTCTTAAGGACCAACGTGGAGGTTTGACAACTCCTTGAAGACCATTTGCCTTTTGCCATTCCTTTTCCATTTCAGGTGTAACACCATCAGGTAAATGCTCTGCTCCACCTGCTACACCAGTCGAGAATTTGAGTTGAAGAACATCTCCAACTTCGTCGCAAGCAGCCAAGATACGATCCATATCATCCTTGTTATGAGCTGCGGAAACGCAGAAACGGGCACGTGAGGAAATGAGTGGCGTGGCAGGATAACCGACAATAACAACGGAAATCTTTCTTCGAAGCATTTCATGAGAGAAAGCTGGCATTTTAGCAGGATTGTACAAAACAATTGGAATAATTGGAGAATCGTCATGACCATACACGATGAAACCGAGACGTTTCAATCCTAATCGGAGATATCTTGAGTTGAACGCAATTCGCTGTAATCTCTCTTCACCTTGACCTGGGGCAATTTCTCCAGAGATAATCTTCAAAGCGCTGAGAATTTGCATCAAGACTGGTGGGGTAGGTGATTCTCCAAATATGGTTGCTGCGTTCGTTTGTCTTAATTTGTCGATGATGTACTTTTCTCCAGAGATATAGCCTCCGTTAGCACCAAAAGATTTAGTGAGAGTACCCATAAGGATATCAATCTCAGCAGGATCAACTCCGAAGTAATCACACACTCCACGACCGCGAGGGCCCATAGCACCAATAGAATGAGCTTCATCGACGAAGAGGTTGAATTTGTACTTCTTCTTAAGTGCCAAAACTCCTGGTAAGTTGACCATTGTACCTTCCATGGAGTAAAGACCTTCAACTACAACCAAGATCTTCTTCCATGGTCGGTGAGTTCTAGGTTGACCTTGAGAAATGACTTCCCGGAGTAATCTTTCCAAATCATTCATGTCATTGTGCTTGAACGACATGATCATAGCTCTTGAAAGACGTGCACCGATACGGATAGAAGCGTGATTCAGTTCATCGGAAATGATGAGCGAGCCCTTTCCGACCAAGGCAGGGAAAGCAGTTGCGTTTGTAGCGAAACCCATTGAGAATACCATTGCTGCAGGCTTACCAACAAATTTGGCAATTCTATCTTCAACCTCCAATGCCAACTCGGAAGTACCGGCATCGGCTCGAGGACTTGCAGAGCTAATTCCGTACTTCTTAATGGTCTCTTCCACTGCGTCTGCGCATGGTCCCTCCGACTGGGCGAATCCGAGATAGTTGTAGGAACTCAAATTTAAAGTTTCTGTGAATGTGCCCGTAAATTGGTAGTTCTTGTTAAAGTCATCAGTCTTTCGATCGATGAGAGTGATGTATCTACCCGGGACGCCAGTAACTGGACGAGCGAAACAATCATCAATACGCAACTTCAATCTGCGTACATAAAAATTGTCAAAGTCACTGTTAAGAGCGGCATAACCATCGGCAGCTGTGAGATGTCGGTAAGATTCAGGCTTGAATCTTTTTCCAAAGAAATCCCGAACATGTCCAAATATAATCAAGACCAAGTAACTGATGTATGTTGTGAGAAGGTAGTAATATGGTGGCTCATCCTCAATTGGATCCTCAAGGACTCCATGATGCTGGCTAACATATTTATGACTTGGGTGGTTCAATGGTCCAAATTGAGCATCTCTTTTTGCTTGTAGTTTAGCTTCTGCGACAGAAGGTGGCTGAAATAGAGTGGTTGGGGGGTCATCCATGTTCACCTCACCACCCTTTGCAGTTGAGAGAGAAATCGTTGGGAGGGATAGGGATGCTGGACTGGGAGATGGGTTGTCCAAAAGTCGCTGTTGTTGCGCGGCAACAGCAGAAAGAAGGGCGGCCTGGGCCGATTGTTGTTCCTTATTCTTCGGTGAAGATGTGAAGAAATTGGTCAATCTGTTACCCTTCGAGGTTGACGCCCTACGAGGGGTAGGCGTGTCGGATTGCGGTGTAGTAACCGCAGGTGTGATAGAACTAGCAAACGGATTTCGAGGAAGTCTTTGAGGCATCGTGGTCATAAATCAAAACCCAGCTCCGAGGAGATTAGGGTATATAGATCTTGGTCTGGAAGCGTGGGTTGAACGAGGGCTAGTATGTCGATGTCTCCACAAAGAATTGGACCTTTGTTTATTGACTTGAGAGATGGACTCGAGAGGATATGAAGGAAGATATCGTAGATGGGTAAGGGGTATTCGTAGTTTGTAGGCTATGACGAAGCTGACTCGCAGATTAACTTGCGGCGGAGTTCTAGGATGCGCATTTAACATCAGTAACGTGGACAATTTACAATGCAGGGAGATGATTTGTGGGGCGTAGGACTTGGAAGGTGTTTTGAAGGTAATGACAGGGTAGAACGATGAAAGAATGCAACGAAAACTTCGAAGCATTGTATCATGGACATTTGAGAGGGTTTCGTTTAATGTGTAAGATGAGGTTTGAATCGGATATCGATTTTCGAGGCAATCGAGGTTGAATCGACAATTGAGGGGAAATTGGGACAATGGAAGACATACCAAGAATGAAATTTATGCTTGAAGAGTTGGTTTGAGAGTATTGGTATTTTTTGAATATTAAATCTGGTTGAATTTGTGAAATACTTTTGTTGATATTTTGGTGCTGATTTCTTTTGAGATGGCGGTTAAGATGGCAATGAAATTAAGTTCGCGACGAAAAGCTAAAATAGCGTCTATTCATTCGTTCTTTCGTTCCTTCGTTCCTCAAGTGAGAGGTTTGAGGAGGCTAACAATCGGTCACCTCGGTGAAAGAAAGGATCTCGTCACGAAAAGAGGTACGAGAGGTGGCTGGATCTGAATCTATCGATGAAGACGTTACACACCCAATTATAGTTTTGAATGCTGGACTCCTCTCGATTGAGATTGATAAAAAATCCACTCGGCCACTCTATCTGTGTCGTCTTATAATTATTATTATTATGATAGATAATAAGTGAAAATGACCATCGACAAAGCACACGCCCTTTCGATAAGAAAAAAAATCCCACCAAATTTGAGAGGCTTGGGGATCACAATCGCAAGTGGGAAGAAGAGGAAAGTAAATAAGATGAAGAAATAAAGGAGAAGATATGTTATGGGTTTTGAATTCCAGGTACCTAGGTATGTATGTAGGTACTTACCGTGTAGGGAACTGCTGTTGTTCTTTAGGTTACTCGAGGTAAATGAGCTTCAACATGGGTCCATCAATCAATCTACCAGTTACGGAGTGAAGTAATAATTATTAAGAATTTATGTGCCGAGTATTATTTATTACCTGGATATTAATTATTAAAAGGTATGGTGCCAGAACTTAGAAGAACCCAAAGAAGACTCTTTTTCATCGGATTAATGAACGATGATCAAAGCGGCGTTTTGATCGATCTAGCCTTTCATGAATAAGATTACTAGCTGGTTTCCGAGGAATAATGAATGGGCAGTCGATGAGCAACAACGGGATTTGAACCTTATTCCTCATTCACTCACCTCTGAAGGATCGAATGCGATTTGTTAATCGTCCGGTGCATCCGTCGTTGATTATGTCACCCATAACTTGCCGCTTTATCTTCATGTCCTCTGCGATAATAAAATACTACCCAGCCAAATACTATATCTAATTTCCTTTTTTCGTTTCTTTTCTCTTCTATTCCGGGATTTGAATGGCTGGGAGCGTTACATAGCTTGACATGATTGGTTTGGACAATCCGAAAAGTGGTTTATCTCCATCATTTTACGGACCCCATCCGGCTTTTTCATTTTTTCCTTACCTTGCTAGGTAGTTAGTTATTACTGTGTAGGGCTGTCAGAATTTAAAGATCTAACCAATGGGAAGCTTGACTTTTACACAAGTTATGTAAGTTTTCTAGAATTCCTATACCCGGGCTGTACTTTTATTACACTTTTACATTTGTTGATCTCTCCAGCACATGGCTGCTGTTGTAAGGCGTGGTCATGGACATTCACATTAATACCTAGTATTTATTAAAGCTGCACCAGCTACCGATCGGTGTTGGGCTCAATATGGCAGGTGCATTGTGGGTCTATCTAGCCTAGGTTTGCAGCTCTAATCATAAAATAACCCTCTTCACATCTACCTAGCACTCTGATATTTTATACAACAGAACCATTTCACTAGGCATGAAATCTATGATTTTTCACTCGACTGCTTCTCACTTCAATCTGACCCGGCTTGAAATTATCGGATGAATTGGAGACAGCGTAACGGCATAATATGAATTAGAATGAAGGAGAAGTCCAAACTGCAGCTATCGCCAGACCATCCTTTACCCCTGGCCTAACAACTAGACAACTAACCAACATGTCGGCGGTGTGAGTCTTCCCTTTGCACTCTCATCGTCCCATCTGATCTTCTTTCACTGCCACGCAGCACCCCATACCTTGTTTCATACCGACTCTCATGCGATATACTAAAATAGACTGTGTTTAAAAGTCGTCCGACCCCACGAGCATTCCGAACAAATTCCATCGTGAATCGTGAACAATGCCATTTTCAAACTTTTGACTTTTCATCATCAGAGATCGTAGAACATCTTCAGGAGACAGACTATGATATCATTAACTATAATTCACTCTCTTTAAGCGTTGTAACTTGCCGGCATCGCCCTTGAGTAAATCTTGTTTGATAGAACCACAGTCTGGATTCTTTCAAAAGGTAGAATTTCCAAGACGTTAGGTTCCTGACGCCGGCTTCAAAGAGTTTTACTAATTCAAGGAGAGCCCCTCTACCAAGCAACGGCTTATTATTACAAGCTGTTGATATTAGAGTTTACCTGCCCAACGCAAAACTGCTCAATCATATGAACAGAAAGTGGAAGCAAGATGCATGTTGATAGCATGAATAGAAGTTCCTGAGCTTAAATTTGATGGGTCACGGACGGATGTACCTTTCGATTAAGCGTCTTCTTAAAAGATCTAGAAATCGAACATCATATAAGTTCATCGATGAATACCGTTTTGACGTGCGGGAACGGATGAAAATAAGTTCCCTCTTCTTTGCCGTTGCTGCCGGTGATAGTAGGTAGTAAGGTCGTGCTCTTACTATGTTAGCTGTTTTCCCGAATTGGGCATCAATCAAGATATCAATTTAGTATTTACAGTCTGGATTATAATATATGAAGTTTGCTGTAACATCGGGTTCAGATATGCAGGTAAAATACCTTTCAGTACCTATTTGAATTCTGAAAAATGTGAACGGACCTGAGTGAAGATGCTGTCTGTTTCTATGCCCGCTCAAGTTCATGCGACTGAAAGTCCGCAGTCCGCACTCCGGACTTCAATCACATGCACATCACATCAATCATCAATCATTCAATGGCCTCAGGATAACCCGCAACAATCCGCTCGGAACTTTTCCGCATCTTGATTGGTGGGGAAAGCTGAAATGTACAATTTCTATGTAAATCATCTCATATCATGATATTCACCAAAATCTTCAATACTTTGAAATATTTCTGCAGAATTTGGTCAAAGTTATACCAATTGGCTTTATAGAAGTATTTTCACATTCACTTCCACAGCCAGTGTAGAATCAAAACCACCGGACTTCCGGTTGAAACCCCCACATCCGAGGTCCTTTCCATTCTCAAGACTCAAGACACCTATCGCGAAATTTTGCTGAGAATCGCTTCACCTTTCTTCACTTATCCCAATCTACCCGTTCATTCTAAACTACACAATACTATTCAATTTCAAGATGGGATCACAAACTCCTCCCAATGCATATAGAATTCATCGGCTACAGAACTCTGGCGTCATCCTGATCCAACCTCAACCCGCATGTACGTATTCTAAAGAAATCGTTTAACAAGAAATATGATTTTGGAAGTTGGGAGAGTTATGATGATCTGGAATCAGTGGTCCTATAGGGAAATATACCGGAATTTGGGGGTGGAGACATGGTGGTTTACGGGAATTAGGGCCGAGCATGGTTTTGATAAGGTATGTAGAGAGATGGTTTCTGAAATGTCTGTCATGTGATGGTTTTGTTGTCTTTTCGTTTGGGCACCGGGCTTGGAGGTGGGTGGGAAACTGAGGAGTCGACAAGGTTGATGTACTCTTATTTCTAAAAGTGCTTTTTAGCTTCTTTTCGAGAGGCTATAGGGACTAGTCGGAGAATGTTAGTTTTAAGTGTAGTAGTGCTACATACTTTGACTCGCGAGCAAAGAAAAGCATAAAGGACAGCTTCTACACATTTCTGTAAGACTAACAATAACAGATTGTTGACAATGACGCGCCCATGTTTCCCCGTCCCAACTTCTTCCAAGGATCTCTCCTTAACTTTGCCGAAAATCTCCTTTACCCCGCCAATCTCAGCATCGATCCTGATTCTCCAGCTATCATTGCTGCCACAGAATCCACTCGTTCCACCGTTTCATGGGCAGAACTTCGAGAAGAAGTTCGTAAATGTACCAATGCTCTAAGAAAACTCGGTGTTAAACCTCATGACCGAGTTGCTGGTTTCGTGGGAAATCATACCAATACCGTTGTAGCTATGCTTGCTGCTGCGTCTATAGGAGCAATCTGGACAGGTGTCAGTCCTGATACGGGAGTTGCAGCTGTTTTGGATCGATTGGTTCAAATTGAGCCGGTGGTACTTTTTGCTGATAATGGCGTTGAGTATAATGGAAGATTTCATGAGAGTTTGAGTAAAGCACGTGAAATTGTGAAGGAATTAAAGGGGCTTAAACGATTGATTATTTTTGATACTGTGGATTTACCAATCAAGATTGAAGGCTTTGACGTTGAGGGTGGAAAGGCCGAGACTTATGATGAGTTTTTGAAAAGGTAATTTGGTCGAGACTCTTCTCTTCGTTTCGTTCCAGTACTTACAAAAATCTAGTGCCGCTGACTCAAATGCTCCATTAAAATTCACACAACTTCCACCAGATACTCCGTTATATATCCTCTACTCGTCGGGCACAACTGGAAAACCAAAATGCATCATTCATTCCTCCCTCGGAACCCTCATCCAACACAAAAAAGAACCACACTACCTCCACTGTGACATACGTCCCGGTGATCGCCTCTTCTATTTCACTACGTGGCACATGGATGATGTGGCATTTGGCTTGTATCCGGTTTAGCATCTGGGACCACTATAGTTCTTTATGACGGATCACCATTCAAACCACAATCTCATCTCTCCATGCCTCTCCTCATTCAAGAATTAGGAATTACCCATTTCGGCACCAGTGCGAAATATCTCTCCATCCTCGAACAAAATAACATCTTCCCTCTAAAAGAAAATATCAACCTCTCCAGCCTTCGCGCAATCTACTCCACTGGCTCCCCATTAGCTCCCTCAACTTTCAAATACCTCTATTCCGCAGGTGCCTTCCCACCATCCATAAACCTCGGTTCCATAACAGGCGGTACAGATATAATATCACTCTTCGGAGCCCCATCCCCCCTCTCCCCCGTGTACACAGGAGAAATCCAAGTCCGCGCCCTCGGCATGTCCATAACCGCCTACTCCCCCGAGGGTACCCCCATCCCAGCCGGCTCACCCGGCGATCTCGTCTGCACCAAGCCCTTCCCCAGTCAACCCACCACCTTCTTCTCCCGCGACTCCGGAGCCGGCGATAAAAAATACCACGAATCCTACTTCCAACAATTTCCAGGCATATGGCACCACGGGGATTTCATCAAATTCTCCCCTGAAACAGGAGGTATCTACATGTTAGGACGCTCAGACGGAATCCTCAAACCATCCGGTGTACGATTCGGTTCCGCAGAAATATACAACATACTCCTCAAACACTTCAGCGAAGCCATCGACGACGCTCTCTGTATCGGCCGAAGACGTCCAACCGACGATGATGAAACTGTAGTCCTATTTGTGAAAATGTCACCAAATCATAAATTTGACAAGGAACTTCAAGATAATATCAAGAATGTGGTTAGGAGGGAATTAAGCGCGAGACATGTACCGGGCGTTATAGATGAGTGTTTTGAGATTCCCGTTACGACGAATGGGAAGAAGGTCGAGGTGGCGGTTAAACAGATTCTTGCTGAGAGTTTGTTCGAAGCTTGATGGGAGTCGGTGCTTTAGGAACAGCCGGAATGGCAACTGAAATATGAGGTGAAGCTAGGACATGACTCAAGTTGGGCGTAGGCACCTGATTCGGGCGTCTTGAAGCTTGGGCGGCTGACTGGGCAGCTTGAACAGCAGCCTGCTGAGCGGCAACTTCTTCACGTTTCTGTAACTCTCTGGCTTCCTTGTCGGCTTTGACTTTCGCTTCCTTTTCTCGCTTCTCTCTCTCATGCTTCTCTCTTCGTGTCCTTGGCCTCCTTTTCCTTGGCCTCTTTCGC